CAAAGCCTGTATGTTCCCTAAAGGCGTCAAACCCTTGAGCGATGGATCATAGGGTATATTCGATAGGCATAAAGCCCTCTGTCAGCTAAGGTGGATTCATATATATCCCTTTAGACAAACATCAACCCAGGTCTACAAGGTATTCTTGGACGAAGCAACCCATGGCTGCCGACAAGGTGCCTTCTGTCAGGTTGGGTCGACTACCTCCTCTGACTAAGTAGACCAGGGATCATGACAGCCCGGGACGACGGAACCATGGGATCTTGATCGGGCTCGTCTTCATTACCCCACCACCAGTTTCAAGTTTATGGTGATAAACTCTAACTCTAAATTTCAAATCATCCAAATTCAAAATTTAAACCCTAAAATTATTGCTATTATGCGAAAGGTTCATAACCTATGTGACATCCTTAACGACTAGCCTTAATCGAAAGTTCTCTCTTGTTATCGGGAGGGGTAATTAACTATAGGGGCTTGCACCTATAGGAAACCAGAACTCAGATCAAAAAGTCCTCACCAAATGAGGGCGAAATCTCTGGGTAGTGTCTTATCTAAAACCCAATCTGCCTTCTGAAAATTCCCCCGGGATCACACACCCAAAATGGAATTTTTCGGAGCCCACAAAACTAAACTCTTAAACATTGAGTATCTTATTGTGTATCGACTGAAGTTTAATTAAAAACTCTAAAATTAAGCATGCTTATATGGGGGCACTCTTGAAATGGATAACCACCTAGGAAGTCACACAAAAGTGATAAAATTGTGAAGATAATATCTCAATACTTGAGAGTTTGGGAAATTACAAATGATATCAAAATAACACAAAATGATATGAAATTAAAAGATGAAAATTTGGTTTGATACAGCAAAATGTTCTACATCATGAGAGCCATCTCTTGAACTCTAGTTAGACAAAGTGCTAATAAGGTGATACCAACCATTGAACTTGTATGGGCCACATCTAGAATAATATCGTCCAAGTGAATGACCCTGGGTTAAGGATGATGACAAGGACGTCAATTACTTAAGTAGAGAAGAATATGAAATCTCTAAAATAAAATAAAGTTACACTCTTAAACATTCAGACATATTTTGGTCTAATAGATAGAACTTCATTAAAAATTCTAAAGTTAAACTCTTAAACATTCAGACATCTTTTGGTGTAACAGATAGAACTTCATTAAAAATTCTAAAGTTAAACACGCTTGTATAAGAGAACTCATAGGATGTTTGACCTGCTGAAAAGTTACACAAATAGAAAAAAACCGTGAGGTCACAGGGCTAAAGTGGATAATATCTTGATAGTTGACAATTTAGATGAGATTTTGATATGCAAGAAAGTTTTGCTTAGTATAATTGTATGTGTTGCAGCATATGAATAATTTAATTCATACTAGCATGGCAAAATGTTAAGAGAACTGTCCTATTGTGTGCCTCTGTAAGAATTAAAAAGTTAATATTTTACCTCCGTAAGAATTAAGAAGTTAATATTTTAGAGTTATATATATGCATAGAGAGAGAGAGAGATGTCAGTTTTGAATGATAGTTAACTTTTATACTGGCTCATCCATCTTTTCAATCATATTTAAGTAGCCTAAATTTACATCATATCTTAAGTCATTCAAATTTGTTGATAAGTAGTGTACGATGTGTGAGAATAAAAGTCCTAATCCTTCAAAAGGATAATAGTCTCTCTCTCTCTCTCTACATATATATAGATACATAGGTACACATAAGTAACGTTGTTGAAGGTGTGATTCTACAACTTTTAGGGGCTGTGCAAGCACCTATGCCTTCAAAAATGGAGCTGTGAAATGGCCGGTATGAGTATTGCTGCCATCTAATCTCTCAGTTAAATGAATGATGAACTATGAATCATAAAAATCAGGTTTTATATGTAAACAATACAAAAAGCATGAGAACAACTAATAAGTATATTCTGACGAAATACCATGAACTGCAATTTAGACTTTAGCTCGCCAATTTCCTCAACCGCATTTTGCTCATGAGTTAAAGATGGAACTTCGCTTTTGACTGAATTGAGCTGCTGCTGCAGTTGCAGAAGCTTCTCTTGCAATTCATTATTTTCAGCACACTGCAGGTGATAGAAAGCAAGTTAATGGAAAGAAACACGAGTTACAAAAATAGCACATCCTAGCTTGTAGAATCCGATTGTATCGCGTGCTGGAAATGGTACAGAATGTGAAGGATAGTACGACAAACCTTTTTATTTAGTTGTTCCTGTAGAATCCGATTGTCTGCCGACTTTATCTGTAGTCAAAATAATTTTTTTTTCTAAAGAGATTAATAACTATATCTTGCAGCATTGAGACAATAAAAAAGGTTGTGCAGCAACTTCACAAGCTACAAATAATTCCAATCCTGCAGTCTTTCAGACTACACATGAATAAAAGGTAAATATTATTACCTCTAGCTCAAATCCTTTCTCACTGCACTGAACCATCAATCTCATGACATTCTGCTTTTCAAAGTAAAAAAAATGAATAGGGAGAATTGGAGAGGACAGAAAATATTTAAGCTGTAGTGGTTGCAGCTATAGATGTTTGTGTTGCAAATTGACAAAAAAAAAAGTGACAGAAGGCAAACCTGTTGCATATCAACCAAAGACACATTGGCCATTGAGGCTTCCTTACTTTCAATAATGCGCTGCTCTAAAACCCGCATTTGATTTCTTTTTTCCTCAATTTCCCTTTCCAAATTTTGAATTTGTAACTGGCAAAAAAGATACCATTCAGTAACACGAGGGTTCTAACTCTGTTGGGAGAAAAGAAACTTGACCTGCTACAGCATACATGTTTGCTTTTGCATATCACTTCTTGAACAAAAGGTTTAGATAGTGAAAGGAACTTAAAGGGATTGATCTACCTAGTTGCACCTGTGACCTCCAAGTTACAATGGAAGCAGTTTTACCATTACTTTGGGTCCGCTAAATCATCCTTTCCATGTGGGGTCTAGAGGAAGCCAAAAGCCTTACATATCCAATTTTTTTACAAGTTCAAGAAAATTGTGTTCGATCAGTAAGTTCTCCGAGCATGAAATACTCTTCACATTAGAGTTCTTTTTGGTAATAAGGATTTATATGTTGAAGTTTCAGTTACAGTGGAAGCAGTTTCAGTTACAGCTTTACAGGCATTTTTCTTCAAAGATCAAATTCAAAAGTAAATGTCTGGCACCTATGTCACTGAGTATGGTAATTATAGATGTGTCGCAGCTAGTATATAAGCCTCAGAGTTCAAAATAATACATTGGCTATAAAAAAATAAATATTGAGCTACCCAAACCGAAAGCTACCAAATGGGCCCAAACTTCCCGCCCGTCTTTGGACTTCATTCTTCACCCTTCCTTACTACCTACTCCAGGATCCAAACCCAAATCATCCGACTCCCAACTGCCGACCTATTCCCACATACAATGAGCTACACCCAAAGTAATTTTTTTTAAGAAATTACAAAATATGCGCCTAAAACAAATGACCTGGAGAAAGTACATTAGGAGATGGGAAATAAGGGATTGCAAAAACCCCTGAGCTCCAATTAAATACCTTCTTCCTCGTAACGGCCAACCGTTAGTACTTAATATTATCCTTCTTCCTCCTAAGCAATAGTCCTAGATAAAGTACTAACAGTTAGCCATTACGAGGGAGAAGGTATTTCCCGCCTCGTCTATACGAGCTAACCGGGCCGGATTGTGACATAAAGTACTAACAGTTAGCCATTACGAGGGAGAAGGTATTTAACAAGAGAGCATGGGTTATTGCAATCCCTTATTTCCCATCTCCTAATGTATGTTATGAAAGGATACATGGCCTAATAATTGAAGAAGGTTTTTTTTTTTCTCTAGGTCATTTGTTTGAGTCGCATATTTTGTAATTTCTCAAAAAAGAGTGCTTTTGATGTAGCACATTGTATGTGGGAATAGGTCAGCAATTGAGAGTCAAATGATTTGGGTCTTGGATCTTGGACTAGTATAGAAGGGTGAAGAGTGAAGTATAAGGACGGGCGGAGAGTTTGGGCCCATTCGGAAGCTTTCAGTTTGGGTGGTTCAATCTTTATTTTTTTTATAGCCAATGTATAATTTTGAACTTTGAGGCTTATATACTAGCTGCGGCACATTTATAATTACCATGCTCACATTTATAACTATTATAAAATTGGTTCCCTGCAAATATTTTGTAAGTTTTAACATGAAAGCCTCCCCCCTCCCTTCCTAGCACACATGAAAACAACTTGGGTATGTAGATGAGAGAGAGAAATATCAGAGAATAAATTCTTCTAAAAACAATTTTTTTTTAGGAAGTGATTTGATTTGAAAAAGAAATCCTAGGAAGGAGGGTAAGAATCTCACTTCTATTATTTCTAAGGAGGGCAACACTCACCTCAATAATAATAAATCTTGAAAAAAAGATAAAAAGTTGTAAAGCAGTCGCCTTTCATGTTTTTTTTAGAAACTCACACTATCCCTTAAAATGAATTATAATCAACAATTTGTTATTATTTTAAAATGAGATGGCCTCTAATACATTTTTAATTTTAAATTGTGAATGTTATTTTAATCTTATAAAGAAACAAGACGATTTACATCAAAATAGAGGCCTAAGAATGCATGTGTATGTACATAAATAAAAAAAATTATGTAGCTATATTGACTTTTGACTTGAGAACGTAGATGAGAGAGAGAGAGAGAGAGAGAGATTTTGCATTGATAAAAAAAATTCATTTCATAAATGATAGGAATTGAGAGAGATAATGTACTAATGATTGTATAGGTTTCAATTTTTCATTTTTCAATGGGTCATCCTATCTCTTGAAATATGGAGGTCAACCTAGAGTTTAAAACCAATTATATGGAGTGTAATTTTAATAGTAATAAATCCAGTGTGGAATTAAGACTTTGGGCAGTCAAGTCATTAATAAAAGTACATGTTTTAGATATGTTGGGTGTATTGTTCAGATGGTGAAATATATGAGGATATTATTAGTAGAATTAAAGTTGGATGGTTGAAGTGGAGGAATGCATCTGGCTTGTTGTGTGATAGAAAAGTCCCCCTCAAACTTAAAGAAAAATACTATAAGATGGTGGTGAGACCGACAATGCTTTACGATGCAGAATGTCGGCCATTAAAAGAGAAACATAATATTAAGTAAGTGTTCTAGAGATGAGGACGCTTGGGTGGATGAGTGGTTTTACTCTTAGAGACATGATACAAAACGAGCATGCACATGAAAAGGTTAGAGCTACTCCAGTGGAAGATCAGATTAGAGAGAGTAACCTTAGATGGTTTGGTCGCATAAAACAACGGCCTTCCGATGACCAGTTTAGGATAATAGATTTATTAGATTTGGTTTAAGTTAAGAGAGAAAGAGGTAGACCTAAAAAGACTTGGTGAGAAAATATTAAAAATGACCTTTCGTTATTAGATTTAAATGAGAATTTGACTCTTAACCGGATACAATGAAGAAAAAGGATTCATCTAGCCAACACCACATATTGGGTTAAAGGATTGATGTTATTGTTGTTGTTGTTATTGGGTCATCATATCTCTTACCTCATCAGTAAAAGATTATATAAAAGAAAACGGTCAAAACTGTGTAAAGGCTGGAAAAAAATTTCTCTTTTTTGGAAGCTTTTATTTTAAAGGCATGACATTTCTAGCCTTCCTTATCAGTTGTTCTATAATATATCAAATTTCCCATTGTTTTAGTTATTCAAAATTTGAAAAACAGTAAAGCAAACTCCAAACCATATAACTTTCAGTTAGGCCAATTAGACAACCTTAGAAATTTAAAAGTGCTCAAACCTTCACCATTGGGAAAAAAAAAGGTTTTCACACACTCTTTCCCATAATAATAGCATATAAATTACAATGGAAAGATATAGAGATCATCAAGCAATCTAATGTTACCAATTTATATGGTAAAGATATTGTAGTGCCTGACATTATCAAAGAGTAAGATCATACCTGAATTTTTGAGTTGTCAGAATCATCTGCCGATTGTTCAACAAGTCTTTTCAGGGTACTGTTACTCAATGCAATCTCACCGGTGACCATTTTAACTTGCTCCTCAAGAAGCTCTATTTGATCGGACAATGATACCCCAGACTGCATTGCGGAAACGAAACAAGCTAGCAATGTTAGAGAAGCGTCGCAACTATGATTGTATAACAAACAAATTTTAATAATATAAAAACATCCAAAGTAATAACCCCTATTAAGAATGTATCAGCAACAAAATAAAGAAACTAAAAAGATAACTTCACAGTTTTGAACAAGAAACAGACAGGAGCTCTACTTGAAAGAACCATTAAAGTAAGCATCTCCAGATAAAATAAAATAGCTGTTACTACAAAAATTTTAAAAATGGAGGTTAGGTGCTTCAACAAATTGGTAAATATCTAAATATACTGCTAGATACTGTTTTGACCAATTATTTGGAGACTAGATTTTTATGAGAACCAAAAAAAAAAAAACGCTAGAACCAAGTTTAAACAATAATTGTAGGCAAGATGATCTGGCTGTAACATCATTGGACCTCGTCTTCCTCCCAACCAGCTGCGGTTTGATAGTTACCATTTTGACAGCACTCTCGCAGAAGTGACCCGTCACCGGACTGAAATTCCTCCACCTCTGATGCCGCTAGAACCACATAATGCACGTCAGTCATATATTGGGAATAAACCGAATGGATTAGGTCAGGTTTTATGTATCAAGATAAGACTGGAGTTTTAAATAAAAATTGATTCAGGTGAAGCTTTTTTTTTTTTCGTAAAAGGGGCACAGTCTATCAGGATTGATGAAAGTGGATTCACTTTTCATGCGGGAAGAGGGGACGTTGCGTGCCTCTAACGTAGGAAAAAGAGTATCCGCCTGAGTTGGTGAGCTACTTGACCTCCTTTACAAGAAACTTTTGATCAGAAGGTTTCCTCACGCTGCATTCAGTCCATTTCTCAAATATTGTAACTCTATTTGCATAAGTTTTATACACTCAATTTCTGGGCACATTAGCTTTTTCTTATTCATTTTGTTGCCTACTTCCACATCAATTCTACCTACTATTATTTGTGCTTCTTATTGGTGAATATTTTGCCACCCATTTATACAAGCTCGAAACAAACTGTCAATGTTTCACTATATAATCGGCAAAAAAGTATTACTCTGTACTCCCTCTGACCTAATCATTAGGCACCCTACCCTACCTCATTTATGCCCTTTCTGAGGATATAACGAGAAAGGACTAACAGAAATGAAAAGAAAGCAAACTACAATTAATTTGATTCCCTATTGCATATTCTTCAATAATGAGAACACTGCTTCGAAATATTTATGTAAAAAAACTGTGAATATCCGAAGAGCAAAAAAAAATGCTAGAGAATTTCACTAGCAAAAAAAATGAGGAACATAAATCATAGGCCTATCTCCAATAGGATTGATATATAACAACATCAAATCTGTATCCCAATAGGTGGGGTCAGCTACATAAAATAAATAAATAAATAATCCAAACATCAGTTGTTTTTAGCACTTACTGAGGACCTCTCTTCGTTATACTTGCTTAAAGATCTCTGGTGTTTACCATGAAATTGATCCAATAAACCTGATACCGAAGTAGATATAGGATCCCTCAGAGTTCCCTCCGTTTCGGGAGGCAGGGGTAGAGTCTCACCCAACATATCCAGCTTCTGGAATATAAACTAATAGAGATTACCATAAAATTAAATGCATGCTCTCTGCACATAACTTAGTACGAGTAAATGAGTATCCCGTAACAGCAAGCTTTTCAACCATGAATATTCATCCTTAGAAATATCATTAACTATGAGTTTGATTCAGGTTAAATTTATGAAGAACCAGCCAATAGTAGAAACTAAGGAAATCAAGTAGGTAAAATAATAAACAAATAAATGAAAAAGCTCGACAACAGATAATACAAGCACAAAAAACGAATAACTTGCTAAATCAAGCAACCCAACAAGATGCTTGCACCAATTAATTCAAATAAACAAACAAATTTAGAATCTCCATAGAATTAAAAAGATTATTACTGAATACAAGCTAATAGCACCTTCAGTAAGCAACTTATAAAGACTATATACAATGATTTACAATAAGGAATATCTAATAAAAAACATGAATGTAGTAAGAATGCATGTTTGTCTCCCCACCATAACAAAATATACTAGAAAGAACGTGCAGAAGAGATTTATCGTACAAGCATATGCCATGAGCTAGTATTGAAGTCCATCAAAACAATGGTGTCCACTACTTAAATTTCAAAGATTAAGCCCTCCTATAGAAACTTACTTCATCTCCACCTAAAGAATAGTGAGGCTGATGACCAGGCAAATCAACCGCTCGCCCAGGAATTGTATTTTTAGTAGATACAAGAATGAGCTTGGTTAGCCTTTGAATTCTACTCATTAGAGCGGCCTTTGCTTCCTCTTCTTCTTCAAGACGAGATTGCATCTTCACTTGACCCTCTTCTAGCTATTTGACAAAATAAATAAATAAATAAATAAGTCGGCCTTATATTAATGATCATTTAGATTGCAGGTCAAAAGAGCAATAACTGAAGACATTTTTAAAAAACAACTAAGCAGCTTGGAACAAACACAAGAAACCTATTTTGCATACAAATATTTACTCGAGATGAAATTTGCAGGCAACGAAACAGCCCTATACGATAAAGCACAATAAATCTTGTTCAGATGTAACAGCTTTGCAAACGAAATGAACCTTTTGTTTCAAGCTCATGATTTCTTCTTGGCCGACACCAGTAAGCATCCCTCTCTTAAGCTGCTCAAGCTCTTGCTTTAAGCTTGATATTTCTCGTTGATATTTCTTAATCAGAGACTTCTCATCAATAATCTGTCCAAACAAAAAAAGTGTTGCACTATAAATGCTTTTAAAATGCCTATCCCATAGAACAAATAGCTAAAAAGGGAAATGATGATGTACCCGATTTCGAGAAGCATAAATCTCAACTCTTTTTGCTCTGCTTGCAAACTTCAACGTATTATGTGTTTCCTCCATATTGCTAGATGCAGGAGTAACAGTGCAAATAAGCTGCACATGACATGTTAGCATTTACAACTAATAAAATGGTAAATTTACAAACTCAAGAGTAATACTACAGCAACAAAGAGAAAGAAATTCCAAGGAAAACGTCTAAATAAATTCAGGAGAAACAAAATGGAAGGTGCCGATATAAAAATCATGAAACGCACAGAAACAAGCCCATGCCCACTTAGTGATGACTGTAGAAGGCGAGTCAGCTTAGAGTCACGGTACGGTATATGAGTTGCCCTTCCCTCACTCAGCTTCCCAATTACCTTCAACCAAAAAGGGTAATCAGAAAAAGAGTTATCAACATAACTAGTTTGTAATCTGCCAAAGGTATGTACAGTATTAAGTTAACAAAAAAAAAACTACAACGATGACATTTTAATTTTTAGCACTGATAAGCAGATATATCTAGAGAATCATAGCAGCCCTGAATAAATTAAGAGAAGAAAAGTCACGTGAATTTTTTTTTAAAGCTTATACGAAAAAGGAAGTAATTTTTACTGGCTTCCTCCAAATCCCAATGCAATCCCAAACCCCAATACAATACATAGTATAATCTCATGCAGGGACATTAAATTTAAATGTTAACAAGGATCATGAAACAAAATCTACCGACAAAAATAAGAAAATAAGTTATAATGCCGTGTGTCAATACCATAATTGTTCGATGCCATCAAAATAAAAGATCTTAGGCAAGTGCTGAGGCACCTACTCACCACTATGATGGATGCAATTAATCTAAGTCATAACCACAACCAAAGCGATTCAATACAAAATTCAAACTTTGTATCATAAAAGGCAACACTTTGAGCCTCTCCCAAGTGACGGGTTTGATTGTCGCCAATCAAAAACAAAGAGAATCCTTGCCATAATAATGCTTCCAAAATTCAAGAAAAATATACATCATGTTTTTTCTCCTATAAGCATAATTATTACAAATTACAATCAAATAGATTATGATGTGAAACGATGCAAGAATTGCTTGTAGGAAATTAATAACTTTTGAACTTTGCGTAGCTAATTAAAAATGAATGCGTTCCAAGCTAGATCGTAAGAAAATTTCCACAGAAGAACTACGTAACGTCAATTGATTACAATTAAAAGCGACATGAGACTAACAAAATCATTTCAACAAATAAATAATAAGGCAAATGGTTCTTAACCAAAATCCACGGTTTAAGATCTAGATCATTCACCTCGGAGTCCCTCACATGCACTCTTGATGTCGCTCGGCTTAGCAGAAGAGGATTGCACACAAACTTAAGGATGCCACTAATAAACAAGTGATGCTGAGGGGACTAGTCGTCGGGGGAGCCGGAATTGGAGGCGCGGCGCGGGTGTTTGTCCGATGAGAACCCACAGTGTTCGGGGTTGTTGGAGTTCGATCGTCTCGGCGAGGCGGTAGAGAATTCGTTTGACGTATATTTCCACCGTTTTGTCGTATTCCCAATCGGATTCATAGAAAGGAGAGAGAAGAATGTCGATCTCTCCTTGGGCGTTGTAAGCAAAGCCGTGATCAACTTTCGGATCGGCCATGCAAGACCATGGGAGATCTTTGTTGTGTGTAGAAACGTTGAGGAGGGGGAGCCGTCACTTAGGGGGAATTCGACCCAAGAGGAAGGGCGGGAATAGGGCTCGGGTGGGAGGAAGGGGAGAAGGGGCGGGTAGGCTAGGTGGAGGCTTGAGAGAGATAATTAGAAATCTGAATTTTGATTTCCAATTAGGTGGGAAGGGAGGGAAATTAATTTGAAAATCAAATTAAACCCATAATGGGGCAGGCGGTTTAAGAGGGATTAGGGGGGGATTAATTGAGGAGCAATTAATGCAATAGGAGAGAGAAAAGCTCAATGAAGGGGGCCGACTAAATAGAGAGAGGGAAGAAGGGAATTATGATTAATTAAGTGCGGCCCAAACAATATTCAAAGCATTAAAGAAAATCTGAATTAAATTTCAGATTTTATTTCAAAGAGGGGTTTCCAAAATTAAGTTATAGTATTTGGAAAGCTTTTTTCAATTCAAATTTGAATTGAAATTCAGTTAAATAACTTTCCTAATTTCTTGGACTTAATTTAGGAAAGCAATTAATACCTATTTGAAGTTTAAACTTCTAATGCGTAGGCTTGGGGGAAAGGTGGTCCGGCAGGTGAAGGGCTAGAGGCCGGCGGCTAGATGGCCGACCGGCGTGTGGGGGAAATGTCCGGCGGCTTGGGCGGCCCAAGGAGACCCGTGACAAAGGTGGGAGGGGCTCGGTTTTTCTTTTTCCAAAAGAAGTTTGAGGGTGGTGAGGCCGGCGGTGGGGCGTTTAGGGGAGGGAAATTGATGCATGGGAAGAAAAACAAATTGAAGAACCGCGAACCTTGGAATCCACCAAAATTGACGGGTATTACTTTTACCCACTAAGGGTTGCTCCTCTCAAGAACTCACTAAGAGATCATGCAAGAAAGTAGAGAAATTTTCATTCATCATTCATCATCCCATTACAATGCATGAGGCCTCCTTTAAATAGGCCAAGATAAGACAAAGCTAGAAAGACACGAATGCCCTCAGGGCTACACAAGCGACTCAATACCCACAAGAGCAAACTAGGAAGATAAAATGCGAGAATAAATAAAATACAAAATAAATCAGAAATAAAGGCTCTAGAACGTAGCCGTCGATCTGCGTCTCCGACGATCGTACACGTGGCAAAATATGATGTCCTCATCAGATTCCCAACAAAAAATGTGCTCCCAAAAATTAACCAAGCAAAACTATGACAAATTTTGCTCTGATGTTGGGTTCGACTATCAAAATATCATAAGCAGAGGAGAAATAAGGTTGTTCTTATGCGAATAGTGACTATAGTTTCTCTGCAACAAATATCAACATCGAATAATGCTTCCCTATAAGTAGGTTCTTTATTGGAATAATGCCACAGCTAAGGTAATGTGCAGTGTTCTATTTGTCCTCATTTCTTGGGAAAGGAGAGCATCAAGCGACAATCTAACGCAAAGTGTAACGTATCAAAAGCTCAAGGTGCTTTGTCGTTAGTACTCTAAAAGGCTGAAATATGTCATTTACATTAAAAAAGAACCACCGCATAAAAGTGAATATACCCTAACAGGATCTTAATTAGGTGAGACTCTGTTAGAGCTTCAAGTCCAAAAATCTTAATTTTTGAGGGGTAACGTCCAAGAGGTAGGGTCTACTATAAACTCTCCATATGCATGGTGTTGCTAAAGTAATCATTGAAGAGATGTAACAATATATACTCATCATTCAAGTCAAACTTGATGAAAACCAAGGTATCGTTCAATGGAGGAGGTATAAGAATCGAGGCATTATATCTCCGTCTTAGTAACTCTTGCCCTCTTTTTCCCCTTACTCTATTATAAGAAAAAGAGCATTCAATTGAAAATTTCAACTACCTTCCTCTTGTGCATAAACAGTATGGCTAACTGTTAATGAATGTATCAGCACAGGAACGTCTGCAATGGACCTTGCGTTATTGCAATACATATCACTGTTGAAGCTTTTGTGCTAACATGGATGGATGGATTATTTGGGTATGTAAGACTCTGCATGATAATAATTATTGACTTCATGCACTATAAATGATTAGGCATCCATAGGAATGGAATACTCAATATCAACGTGATACGCCTTGGAGATAAAAACAGCAAACAAACAAGGGAAAAATTGCATAAATACTAATAATAATGGCTTATTTTGACTTATAACTTCAGATTAAAAGAAAGATATAAGTGATCTACAATTCGAGAGGTAAATCAGCTCTCCCAAACAACCAAGATGCTGCTAGGAATCCCTCAAAGGAAAAGCTACAGCTAACACAAATAAAAATCTAATTAAAAAACAAATAAACCATAAACTTAGCCTTAAATAAGCTCTCCTCCCTCCCTCCTAAATCAGCCCCCCTTTCCTAATATATTTCCCTCTTTTACTTGAAATTCAAATAGGAAATCCTTTCCTAATATATTTCCCTCTTCTATTTGAAATTCAATTAGGAAATTCTTTCCTAATTGATCATCTCCTAACATAATGAATTAATGCCTTGTTAGGTCCCACCAAATCAGTTGAAATCCCCTCCCTGGATTCCACCCCTCCTCCATCAAAACGACTATATATTTTTCTGCACAAGTGGAGTGGGGAAGGCACCATCTCATATTCAAGAATCCAAAGCCTTTGAAGAAGAGCCTTGTACAAGGTGTCAAATATGAAATTTGGCATCTAAACAATCAAAAATCTCACGCAAGGATATGACATGTGTCCTTCATCGGGGTGGTTAGCATGATTACAACAACACCACCATATACAATTATAGCCTAAACATGGATGCTCCCCAATCGATAAGCCTATAAGTTGATAATCATAATGCACACTCAATCAGATATAAAGTCCCTATTAGCCATGGTCAATTTAAATTAGCTCCTTCAGCAACCATTCCGCCCAAGTCTACGAGTTCGGCTTTAGCAACGCAACTTAAGGAGATTCCTTGGTCAACTTGAGTTGACTAAGTAGATCATAACACAAAATTACAACAAAAAAAAAAACAAAAACCAATAGGATCTTGATCGAGTTTATTACCATTCTTTCCAAACTAAAAGTGATATATTATCTACCTCAAACAAATTCAATATTATTATAACAGCATCGTAAAGCCTATAGACCTAATTTAAAGTTTTCTTACGTGACAGAGATGGGTAATTAACAATAATGGCTTTAATTTCTAGAAAATCGCAAATTATATTACAAATTCCTCTATGGTAATGAAATCTTTAATAAGTGTCTTATCTAGCAATTCAATCTATCTCGTGAAAATTAACCTAGACACCAACTTGAATTTATAGAATCATATGAGAATTTTCAAAGCATGCACTTGAAGTATATTGTAGGATTCAAGGCACCGTAATTCTTTGAACTAGTTTCTACCTAATAAAATCTTGCACCATAAAACCATGTGATCTTGGCATGGTTTAGCATCCATCACCACACCTATTCCCAGGAAAATAATGCCAAATCATGACAAAATGTTTATAACCACCATAATCATAAAGCATGTGCCTTTAAAGTTAAAGAAAGCCAAGTGATTTCATTGATTAACAAAACTTTCACAAAACAAAGGAGCGGTTAAATATGAAGTTTTGCACCATAAAAAAAAAAAATCATGAAACTCATATCCAAACAAACTTCAAATTAACAGCTAGGGCAATTTGTTTACAAAATAATTCAGGTTTCCTAGTGAGAAACATGGCTATTTTTCCCCCTC